CGCCGACGTATCTGTACTGTTGACGACTTTTTCGTGATCGTTAAACTTTATCTCGTACGTCAGAGGTTAGTTTAAACCGCTGGAGTAAAAAGGGTGATGTGAAGTCAGTATGTCAATGTCCAGGGGAATACAATATCTGTTACCATAGGCATCCGCGAAAGCTTCATCTTTACCGTTGTTGGCACCCGCGTCAGCATCCCCATCCCCCGTTCTTAGTTTAGACACATTTTCTTTTTCTATGCCCGAGTACGCCATGTTTGGAGTCGTCGAGCTGTTGAGCCAATTGTCTTTAAAGTTGTGATACACGTCGGCGTGACGATAACTCACGATTTTGTTACCTTGAAGTCTGACGCTGATTTCGCCGACTAAATTTCTGGCCAAATTACCAAAAATGGTTCTGTTGTCGTCGCTTCCACCTTCGAGTTCTAAAGAGAAAGCTAGTTTACAAGTGCCTGGTACGATCACATCGTCTACACCCAATCGAGGAAACTTGACCCTCTGCGTTTGCCCAGCCGATATACTACTAGAATTGTGGGTGATGACCACCTCTCTTCTCTCGCCTTAGATAGTAGATATGGGTATTTTTAAAAGCCTGCGGGGGTTGAGTTTTTTTCCGTACGCATTCATTTTATTTATAAAGAGTTTTAAATTTAAAGGTATCTGTCAGCCAAGAAGCCCACCAATAGCGTTCCTCCCGCTATAAACGCGAGTTCTATTGCTATTTGGTTGGTCGCTAGGCTCGTAGCTAGGCTCGTAAAAATCTTCGAGTTTGGGTTCGCGTTGCAGTCCTACTGGTAGATTCTCCGATCACTTTGTTGTAGTAACGTTGCAACGCTCGGTCTACGTCGGAAAATGTTTCTTTAGAGGCATTTTGTTTTACGATACATTTTTGTTTTCTAGATATTTCGTTCGTTCTCGTTAGCACCGATCTGTGGCGGCCGAGAGTTGTTCTATCACTAAATCGTGTCTCTTACGCTCCTTGTCGACTTGACTCTGTTTCATATTTGAAATTAAAAAGTTTGAACCCGTAAAAGCTAAGGCGTTGACGATCGCGCTTCTTAATCATCATAGCAACGCTAGCCATGTTATTATAAACGTCTTTTATATTAAATAATATGAAAACATTATCTAAACTGTATCATAGCCAAAGCGGTAATTGGACAGGTGAAAGCGCCGTCGATCATTTACACGATAAAACTAAAATCGATAAAAAAGTAATCAGAGATTGGCTTAAAAAACAAGCAATCTGGCAAATTTATCTACCGGGTCCTGCGTATGTACCCAGGCCTACGAGTACTTCGCGAGAGTTTGAAACACCAAACGACTTTCACCAAATGGATGTGCTATACCTACCCTGGGATACAGTAAAACGCAAGACTTATCAATACGCTTTGACGGTTGTTGACGTTGCGAGTCGATACCACGAAGCAGAACCTTTGGTTTCGAAAACGGCTGATTCCACCAGAGATGCTCTCGTCAAGATTTACGCGAGATCTCCTTTGCGTTACCCTAAAACGTTGAGGGTAGACGCCGGTACCGAATTTAAAGGCGCTTTTAAACAATTGATGACCTCAAAAAACGTCGAGATTATCGTAGGCGAACCCGGAAACCACCGATCGTAGAAAGATTTAATCGAACGCTAGCCGAGAGACTGTTTGGTCATCAGTACGCTCAAGAAATGTTAAATCCCGAGAGTAGAAACACGCAATGGGTCGAGCGATTACCCGGCGTGATCCAGGCAATAAACGACGAAACGACAAGATTACTAGCTAAAGCACCGTCACAGGCGGTTAAACTAGAACAGTTCCGACAATTGCCGGCTAACCCAGTTAAAATAACAGAGCAGAATTTTACCGCAAGACGCTATGGTTAGATATTTATATTACCCAGGCGAACAACAGGGGTAGGGGGGGTACTTCGAGAAGAGCCACGGATCCAATTTGGAGTGTAGACATCTTCAACGTTGAAAAAAGAACGAATCAATTTAAAATGGTTAACGGAAAAAAGTGATGACGGGCCCCACGCTGTATTACCTGCAAGACGGCCCAAAAAGGAGTTTTGTTAGACACGAGCTTCAAGTCGTACCCGAGGACACGCAATTACCGCCGTAGTGACCAAACGCCAGCGTGTTTACACCGTCCGGTAAAATGTACCTCTTTGTGTCCAACGGACTCAACGATAGTTTATTTTGAAATACGGTGTAAAGGATGTGATTTTCCGATCTAATGTGAGTCATGGTTTCGTAATGAGATTTCTTGTTAAAGATGCAGTCGTAGTAGTGTCGGTGTTTTAATTTCTTAGAGGTGACCGATTTTTTTAGGTCTTATTACAAACGACTTCTTGGATTATTTTACCTCCAAACTCGTTTTAAATTTACCGATCACTTTCTTATTGGTTGGGTCGTACAAAGGATGATCGTTGGATAATTTGAAAGGTCGTATTGTTAACCGTTTTCCTGCATATCTTTGAATACGTCGTCCGTGTGCACTACTAGTACCAAACTACTAGTATCAACCTGATTTTGTCTTTATACTTGTCTTCTAAATGGTTGTAATAAAAATCGTTCATCAATGGCTTAGATAGATCCAATATACTCACTCCGCATAGATCGGTTTGTTTAACACGGTTTTAGTCTTGTACATTTCGAGAAATGACAGATCGCATTCTGGAAATGACGTCGTCGTTTTGTAGCTCGGTTTCTGGATAATTTGTTCGTATTTAGATTGATCGTCTTTGTTATTGTCTCTGAGTAGGTAACCGTCAATCCGGTTTCTGACGTTTTCCATCGTCTTACCAAACACGCTGTTGTTCATCAGTTTAAAAAAGTCTTTCTCAAAATCAGAGGTCGCTTTTGTTCTGAGTTGCTTGTTTTTGTCGATGTAAGATGTCATTCCAAGGCATTTGCTTAAATTGTAGCGCTCGATGCACCTTTTTAGTTTCAAACCGAGTTTCAGATACAACTGCAACGTAACGTAGTGCAAAACATATTTTTGTTTAGGATTAAGGGTACACGTTAATTTTTTGCACGTTGCTACTAGGTTCGGTATCCAATAACCGTATAGATTGTTTGCGTCAATGTAGGTAATGTAACTCGACGGCTCGTTTGGATTATGGTCGGGTAGGTATTTGTTGTTGGCTTTGTGGTATCTCGAGAATACCACCCACGCTCGATATCCCACCGCGTTTCGCTTTCTCAAAAAATAAATGTTTGTCTACGTCTTGTAAATAGTTCGAGTTTAACTTCCGAGTGTTTTAACAAGGCGTCCCACGACAATCCTGGTGCTGTGTAGTAATTAGCTGGATCTAATGCATAGTTTGTAATACACGTATATACAAGTTTTCAAATACGCAAGCCAGTAATAACGTGTCCTAAGTGATGTACAAATCGTGATATTCCCCCAAGTTTTTGACGTTTAACTCATTCCACGTCAGTTTAGCTCTGTCGTAGTCCTCTCGCGATATATTTTTGTCTTTTAGGCTGCTGTAAAATTGTTCGATGGGGGGTAGGCTGGTCTCTTGAAATCTGTCAAACGAGTCCATGTATTCGTACGGATAAACTCCTTTTTGTAACAACGAGTCGATGTTTTGAGGATTAAAATGTTCTCTGAGTAGTTGAAACGACTCTCTTGGACAAGCTTTAGATAATCTATCCAACGAAGACGCCATAAAATTAGATTGCAGTAGGCGTGCGCGGCACCTCTATATCTACCAGTGACGTGAAAGTGATTTCTCAGCTTTCTAAATTTGTTGATTCTCTTTTTACAGTCGAAACATTTAGACTCGATAAATCCATTTTTGTTTTCGTACTGATATTCTTTGATTTGTTTTTCTGGGTTTTTTTGGGGGGGGGGGGGGTTCTGGCACTGTGCTCGCGTAATAGGGATAAATTGGTGTTTCGTAAATCCAACACGCGTTTGTTTTATCATGATATTCTTTAGCTCGCTCGTTAAATTTCATGGGTTGGGGTTTTTTAAATATGCAATTTATGTCGCTTTGTATTTTTAACATTTTATTTACAAACTTTGATGAAGGCATCTTTACCTCTATAAGTCACTTGATACGCATTAGTGCCGTCGCATCTAACTACTTCCAACGAGTAACCGCTAGCTTTGTGAATGTTTGTCTTTTTGCGTGTTGTCCTTTTTTATCGTCCGAGTTTTTTTCTAATATCGATTCAAAGTCGGCGTAAACTACAAATGGTGCTTTTTTGTTTAAACCTGTAGTTTTTAAATTCTAATATTGGCACATCGTTTTCGTCGACTATCCACTCTCTATTTACGTATTTTCGCTTAGCGGTAGGAAATACAATCTTTGACAGATGTGAATCTATGCCATTACAATCGCGGTCATGTGTCTATCTCATTTTACTTGCATTCTATAATGGCACAGGCACCTTCGACAAAAATGTTTCTTACTTTTATGTTTTGTAACGTTGTAAACCAATCTCGAAAAATTATTTATCCAGCAGTAGTGATGCTTGTCGCCCTCAGAAAACAAAAAGCAGATCGATAGGTCGTGACTCTGCTTTGTAGTTTTTAGACACGTATAATGAAGGGATTAAATGAGAACTTACCTGTTTGAAATTTAATCCTGATTTTATGAGAAAGGGTGAGTGAGACATTACGTGAGATCCCGCCACGCGCATGCGCAGTCATTATTAAATGCGTCAGGATATGAGACCAGATAAAAAACCAAATCCCATGGTAATGCTGAAGGGTATAAATATAGAGAACTGATCCTGTTTATTGAAAAAGGGTGGGAGTGGAGGGCACGTAATCTCTCACTCGCCCTTTCTCATAAAATCAGGATTAAATTTCAAACAGGTAAGTTCTCATTTAATCCCTTCATTTTATTTCGAAATCTCGCGAGAGATTCCGTGAGACTTTAAAGCATCTGGTCAAATATCCTGCCCACATAAATGGTAAACAAAGGGTGTTTACATGAATGGTCTTTAAGTGTACACATAAATGTAATAAACAAAACTGCAATGAAACCAAAGCTGTGTTATAGTGCTGTTTTACTTCTTTAATTTCACTGCACTCAAACCTTCACGTTCAGGGAAACACTATGTTGGTACACATTCATCAATTATTTATTGCCTATCCTGGGCAAGAGGCAAGACAAATTGATATATACACTGTATGTGTCTTATGTTAATAAACTTGGCAAATACCTGAAAACTCCATATTATCTGAAAATGTGAGCACAACAGCTCACCATTGGGTGCTCCCTTTTGTAATTTTTTAGGGAAACAACAAATTTGTTCAAAAACAACTGTTAATAAAACTCATGACTGTATTCAATCCAGCACGAATGCATGACTTTCCTCTTAAATTGGATCGTAACTGGAAAGCAGGCTGTGTGCCATTTCTGGAGTGGCCTGCACAGGTTTGTTATAGTACTTTTGAAAGGTGGTTTCTGTCGCCCACCCTGCAGTTTTCAAAATGTCTGAAATTGGCACTCCCAATTTATGAGCAGCTGACGTTGCCGCTGCTCGTGTCGAGTGTGCCTTGAATTGTGATGTATCGACTCCTGCTTGGAGCAGCAACTGTGTTCAACCATCGAGCAACGGTGTCCTTGCCAACAGCAGCATGGGGGAGTTTGAAACTGATGAAAAGCTGTTGCTCTGTGGTATGTTCCTAGAATCCTTGCGTCGTAGGTGTTCAGTCCGAGCAAGATACTGTTTTAGGTAGGTGTGAACACACAAACGCCTGTCTGGTGGATATGCTTTCAAGGTGACCACCAGTCCAGTATTGCCAGGGCGACTTTGCTTTAACAGATCGGCAATGGTGAAATAACCACGTCGTGTTTAAGCTGCACCATGTCCAGACGTAGTTTGTGCAGAGTCTTTCTTCTCTGTGCTGTAACCAATCAGCATTGCCAACTTGAGGGTCAGGTCTTTGAGGGACAGTGTGCCGGCTGGAGACAGTCGGTGCAGATAGTCAAATACAACTTGAACATCCCAAATTGAACTGTATCTTGGTGCAGGGGGCCTTTGTGTGTATGCACCTTTAAGAAAACGGCTGATCAAGGGGTGATTTCCAACAGCAGAATCACCCTCTAAAACAACGAACGATGAAAGAGCACTACGTGCAACATTTAACGAGTTGTAACTAAGCCCAACATTAAAAAGTTCAGTTAAATATGTAACAATGTGGACGGCATTGGTGTGCATAGGATTTGTCGCCCTCTTACTGCAAAAGTCAATCCAGCGTTCGATGAATCCACTGTACTGTTTCTGGGTGGATTGTCGCCAGGATGACATGATGATGTTGGTAGCTGCCTCTGGAATTCCTCTGCCTTCGAAGGATCGCCGGACAGTCTGCAACAAAGGAGGTGGAGTTTATGGTTAATTGGGTTGCAAACACCTGTCACTGGCTGTATGAGGAGATTGTGTGACTTTGGTATATTATAGCACTGGCGGCTCAATCAGCATATTTAGCACTTGCGAAAACCAGGGCTGGGTAGGCCATTTGGGAACTATCATGAACCCTTCCGCGTTATCCGCAGCAATTTTGTTAAGGCATCTGCCTATTAGACAAGAAAGGAGGGAACGCATAGAACTTTAGGGACTCCCAGCTTACAGAAAATGCATCAACTGCCTCTGCTTCTGGGTCTGGTTTCCATGATACAAATCTCGAAAGCTGTGAATTTAGGCGGGAAGCCAAGAGATCAATCTCTGGTCTTTCCCGTTCCCACAACTGATTAAAAATCTCCCCATTTAGCATCCATTCTTTTTCATCCTGGAACTCTCGAGATTTTCTATCTGCTATAGTGTTCTGTACCCCAGGTAAATGGGCAGCAGATACCCAAATACCCCTGTCTACACACCAGTTCCATAACTGTATTGCCAGTAAATTGCAACTGTCAGACTTGGAGCCGCCCATGTGTGCTATGTAGGCAACAGCTATTGTGTTATCAATGTTCAACTTCACATGCAAGTTTTGCTTTTTCCCACAGAAAGATTTCAGAGCAAAAAATGCTGCAAGAAGTTCAAGATAGTTAATGTGAACGTCCTCTGATTTCAGACTTTCACTGGCCTTCCAACGTCCCCCAGTATGGGTAGACCCATCAGTTGCCCCCCATCCCTGACCTGATGCATCAGATGCTAACTCTAAATCAGGTTTACCTCTGGAAATGGTGGAAAATGAACTGTCAACATTCTGAAGCCACCAATGCAACTCCTCATGAGCCGTGCCTGACAAACACATCTGTCTATCAAAATGGCCAAAATTCTCTCTGAGGGCTGTGTTTTTTCCCTTTCCAAAGTGCGGTAATGTAACGGCCCATATTGTACCCCGGGAAAAGAGGCAACCACCTTGCCTACAAGTGTGGCCACATGCCGAATGGTAAGCCTTTTGGCCTGTAAGAGCAGACAGGCATGAGCCTTGATATCTTGTTTCTTTGAGTCAGGGAGGCGTACCTGTCATTTCTTTGGAATTAATAATAAATCCCAAATATTCAATCTCCTGACAGGGCGTGAAAATTGATTTGACCGGATGAATAATAAAACCCAAGTTTTGCAGGGTTTGGGCAGTAAGTTGCACATATCGCTCAGCCTCACTCACCGAGGGTGCAACAATTAAAGTATCATCAAATGTAACCGGTAATAGTATGTCCCATGCCCCGCAGTGTAGCAAATGGGGGTTTCATGATTTTGGTGAACAAACGTGGCCCAGAACTCAATCCATTTGGCAGAACCCTATATTGATAGAGCTTATTGTCCCACATGAACTTCAGATATTTCCTGCATTCTACAGAAATGGGTATTGAATAGTACGCATCTTTGAGATCCAATGAGGCCATATAGCAGTTTCTTGTTATGAGGTTCTTTGCTGTATCAAATGTATCCATTTTGAAGTGTCTATACACAATAGTCTTGTTGAGGTTTGAGAGATCCAGTATGATTCTCACTCCGCCATCTTTTTTCTTGCGGGTATAAATATTGGACATAAACTGTCCATCTTCATAGCAAGTGGGTTCAATGACACCCTTCTTGATAAGCTTGCTAATTTCCTCATTAACACTGAATTGTTCTTCCAATGTTAGTTTGTACGGAGGTGGAGTGTAAAGTTGTTGAGGAAAAGAATCAATTCCCCAAAACTCCAAATGATACCCTTTAATTGCTTGCAGGATAACTTTGTCTGAAGCAAGTTTTTCCCATTCACTGCTATATAGCCTCAAACGGCCCCCAATCCATTCATAATTTTGGCCTGTATACGTACCTACCTCCATTGCAGTAGGTCTTGTGTCACTTAGGACGTCTTCTTTACATGTTTGAGGTTCGGACTGACTGGGTCCTTCGCTGATTGTGAGCCGCAGGTCCGAATGGACGACGGTGGTGTTGAAAGTTTTGTCGCATTTTCATGGCATTGACGTTTCCCCCTAAAAAAAGGGCACTGGCACTGCCACTGGTTTTCCAGCCTGCAGCCTGAAAGCGTCTGTTTTCAGGGGCTGTAGGGATGGTAGGGTTGAAACCCCCTTCGTTGTTGTCCTGTGAAGCGCATCACGCCAAGTGTGGCTTTCTGCTCCTCTTGGAGTTCTTTAACCTGTTTCCCCAAGTCGTCACCAAATAGCAATTGGGTCACTTTTGTGGACGGCTTGCATAAGTGAGCATATTTTTGGTTCATGTCAGGTCGGATGAGCTCTTTTCGCAAACTTTTAAGTTCAACATTGGCTGATGCCAGCAATGCGTAGCCATCCTCCTGTTCGGCAGTCAGTGTGCCAGTACAAGATTGAGCCAGGGCTGTAATCCCTTTGATGAGTGGCTTCTGCACTCTCTGCAGTTTCAAATCCCTGGAGCGGGTTTTAGCTGATATGTAGTATCGGTCCCAACTATAGTTGGGACTGTCCCAACTATAGTTAGGACGGTCCCAACTGTAGTTGGGCTGGCCCAACTATAGTTGGGACGGCCCAACTATAGTTGGGGCTCATCAAGGGGCCCATCTATAGTTGGGCCACTCCAATCTTTTTATTTTGAGGTGTCCCAACTATAGTTTACATTGATGTACAACTATAAAACGTTCCTTACAGCTCTGATACACGTCTGACTTTACTGGGGACCACTGAAATTAGCTATTGATGGGACCCATCTATAGTTGGGTCACCCCAATCTTTTTATTTTGCGGTCCCAACTATAGTGTACGTTGTTGTACGATTATAAAACATTCCCTACAACTCTGATACACATCTGACTTTACTTGGGACCAATGAAATTATCTATGGGTGGGGACCATCTATAGTTGGGCCACTGCAATATTTTTATTTTGGGGGCCCAAGTATAATTTACATTGATGTACGACTATAAAACATTCCCTACAGCTCTGTTACATGTTCGACTTTACTTGGGACCATTGACATTAGCTATGGGTGGGGCCCATCTATAGTTGACCGGCCACGCCAATCTTTGAATTTTGCAAAATGTTGCTGGACTATAAAACCCAGCTGGACAACTCATCCAACTAAGCAGTACCACGTGGCAGGCCGGCCCTGCAACACGCATGCACGACATTAACATTAACACCCTCTATCAAGCATCCGGCGCAACTCCAGTCCTAACTATAGTTGGGCCGGCCCAACTGCTGCACTATAGTTGGGACCGATGCGATAGTTGGGTGTAACATTGTCCCATATTTGAGGATTAACCTTTGGTACAGTAAGAGCGTCGCATTTACTAGGACACTGATATTTTTCAGCTGTGTCTGTGAGGCTTTTCTCCTCGAGCTTTTCCCTCATAAGGAAGTTCAGACTATTCGCTACATCCTCTTTGATGGGGTTACCCACTACAGAAGGAGCAGTAAATTTCGCTGCAAAACCTTTGGCTTTTGTAGTACTGTCACTAGTGCTCATACCCGTTTCTGCACTGCTGGTGGTAGCAGTAGCACTACTCGGCCTAACATTATGCTCCGAGTCTGTGTCCACCATGTCCACAGGGGAAACCATATTTTGGCCAGTTGGTGATGTGGTCATGTCCTCAGACTGTTTCAAAAAATCGACATTTGAGTCAATATTCACGGCCACAAAGGCTGAATAAGTACTTGCATGATCATCGTCACCGCCGCACTGACATGTCGGAGTAAGCGCCGGCCGCAATGTTGGAATTCGCCATGACACCCATGATCATCGCCTGGAAATTGTGACTCTCGGTGGCTTGTTTTGCCAGTAATTCCTGAAGGCGTGTGAGTCTGGTTGACATACCAGTATCATCCTTGGTCTTCCGAGGATGTTGTGAGCCCTTTGGCTGAGAAGAGTCCGAGTTACTCGCACTGTCTACTAAAGCGCATCAACAAGCGTCAACAAGCGTCAACGGTCGTCAACAAGCGTCAACAAATTTTGTATAGGCTTTTGAACATTAAAAACAGCTTTATATGGTAGAAAAAGCAATAAAGAACATCTTCTGCATATCAATTAATGTTAAAATTATTTTAAAACTTGGTTTTTTGAACGCGAAATGTACGACGAATTTGTCGATAAAAGTTGACCGCCATCTTGTTTGGATGGCGCTGTAGACTTCGTGGATGCATAGTATGGCTCTGTACACTTCACGCAGCGTAGTACGGCTAGCTACACATAAACAAGATGGCGGCCAACTGTTATCGACAAATCCGTCGTACATTTCGCGTTCCAGAAACCAAGTTTTTAAATAATTTCAACATTTAATTGATATGCAGAAGATGTTCTTTATTGCTTTTCTACCATATAAAGCTACTTTTAATGTTCAAAAGCCTAAACAAAATTTGTTGACGCTCGTTGACAACCGTTGAGGCTTGTTGATGCTTGTTGACGCTTGTTGACACGCTTTAGTAGGACCCGGTGCAGTTGTACATGCAGGCGTGCTTGTTGCACTAGTACTCGTGGTCATGCCCGTACTGCACGGTGTCGTTGCACAAGCAGCAGTCGGTGAGCACACCGCTGCCTTGTTCGGCGTCTTTTTGCCGTCAGTTTTTTCCTTATTTTTGTCCATGGTTACCATGGATCACAATTCTTCCGTCGAAGATTAAGAAAGGACAAAAACGAAGTGAAGTATTTGATACAAATAATTATTTCACTCCGTGAAGAAAATGACAGCGGTTCCCACTATCGCGCACTGTGGCGTAATGGTGGCGGGATCTCACGGAATCTCTCGCGAGATTTCGAAATAAAATGGATATATTTCTCCCTCATAACCGTCATGACCGTATACGTTTATCGTTAAATTATTTTGTGTTTCTATCTTTGGTATCTGGTCGATCGGTGTTGGAAAGTCTACGCCTTTAAATTTGAGTCCGTCGTCTTTGGTGTATACAACCGGTTCTTCTTTATGAATTTTATATTTAGGATCGTTTTTTATTTTATTTTTTACTTTATCCGTGTACAAGCCAAGAGCCGCTCTCAAAACACCATCTCAAACACTCGTCGTCTTTGTTTTTAATGTTTATCATCACCGTTTTCTGTTTGATACATTTAGGTAGGTCTATGTAAGAACTACCCCTCACGGGGTTAAACCTGTTGATGTTGATATACAACGCCATTATCTTTTTTAAAACCCAACCCGATCCTTGATTCGTATACCTTTCATCCTTTCTAAATAGCTGGTCGATGTCTTCTTTTAAAACCTGTTTTATTTGACTTTGATTTAAAACGACTCTCTGATCGCTAAAATGAATAGCTTCAATCGTTTCGATCGTACCATCCGGTTTGGTTTTTTCGTATCTTATTTTGATCACAAGTTCTACATTTAAACCTCTTAACTCTCTCAATTCCGACAAATTTTATTTACAATTTGATCTTTGTGCGTATCAAAAAATCTGACTAAATCGTTGTTAAAAGTCTAGGAATCAGTTCCCAGTTTCTAAAGTTGTTTCTGAATCTCCTCGTCGCTCTAAACTCAGCCTCTTGAAAATATTCAGGTTGCCTAGAATTTTGAATCGCTGAGAGTAAATCTTTTTTCAAAAATCGACCATTATAACCCGTCAGTGTAAATTCTAGATCGTAATCGTCTACAATCTGTTTGAGCTCATGTAGTGTCTTTTTCCTAAAGTGCTTTAAATTGAGCTTTGTAGTTTTTTATCCCGTCGATGTAGACTTTTCGAGAAAGATAAGCATATCGATTGTACGATATTTTATATTGCTGGATGTAATCATGCAGCGTGGCTTTATTCCATCTAGAAAACCCTTTAACGATTGGCTTGAACGTATTCATCATTTATATCAATATTTAAAAAAAAAAAATTTTTTTTAAGAGGTCAGACTTTTGGATTTATAAGCAATTAGACACATCGGCCAGTGAGAGAGATCTTCAATACGAGAGATATTTGGGGATTGGCGCCGTACCCCTCTCCTGAGGGTTTTGTCTGGTGGGAGAGTGATGTTTTGGCCTAGTGTCCTCCACCATTGCGGGTCAAAAAAAGGGTCTATATTTTAAAATATTTGTCTTGTACCACTACCCAGACCTATGGTAAAGTCTGGTACCCTCCCCTTACACCTACTGGTAGCAAGTCTCTTTTGTGAGTATGTGTGGTTATGAAAAGAACCAGAAGATACGCTAGGGCAACCACATGATTCGTGGCATGTCTTTAGATGGTGGTTTACCAGTATGCCAAGTTAGAGGTACATCGGATTTTAAAAAGTGCCAAAGTCGGGGGCCAGAAAAACAAAGGCTTTTCCAACAACTATGCTGAAACAGCCAATAAGGGAATAAGGAAAAACAGAGGTAATCCTCACTTTTTCTACTTGCATGTACATATTAAAACAACAACTTTTCCAAGTTGGTCCATTACCAAGACTAAGCCCATATGGCAATTTGCTAGTCACTTCATTGCATTTCTTATGACACAAATCTGTAACGGCTATTGACTTACCCCTTCATTTATGAGCCATAGTAGCATGTTAATTGTTAGCACAGCGGTCAGCAGACCTACTCGTCTGATCTTCAAAATAGGAAGTGAAGATTGTGAAGCAAAGACACCAGCCTGTGATAAACAAAAGTCGTATTCAGTAATAACTTCAAGTGTATAATTTCAAAAACATTACTTAAATAACAAAAAATGGCGTTTTAAATTCTTGTTGTGTGGCATTCAAGTTAGGTGGGGTAAAGGCATACAGGATCATTTGTTCAATATTTTGTAAAGGAAAATCAATACAGATCATTCTCAATTTCTAACTCATAAAATTCTTGTAATTACCATGAACATTAGTTGGTATTGCAGTATTAATGTAACAAGAAAAGTCTACCATTTTTTTTCTTGAACGTGTTCGAGGAAAAACTGTTGGGTCATAGTACTAATGAATTTGCCTTTAAAGTGCTTACTGATTCCATAAAGTCAAAAATAAAACCCAGTCTGATGATATCACTGATCATATTTGACCAACTCCACAAAAAAAGGATATTATGTCACAAAAGGTTGTCTACAACAGGGGAGCGCAAGGGTCCCATGGGACTGAGCATTTGAGTCAAGTAAGTCAAAGTGCCACCAAAAAAAAGTGAATTTGAGTTACATTACATGGTGGTAAAGCCAACAACGTAAGCTTATAATAGCGCTCCATAGCCCCTCCCATTATATTAATTACTTCCTTGGAGTTCAAATTACACAACTGAAAAAAACCCAAACAAACAGGCTTTGGATTTGGGCCCGATGCACTCGAAATTGTAATTTTAAAGATGTCAATCATGAAAAAAAAAGTTAAAATCACATATTCACCCAATCAACGTTGAGCGGGCCATTATGCGATTATGCAGAGTGCGACTAAATATATTGATTGTTACTTGTGTGTCAAGTATGGAAGGACCTCAGTTAACATCTTACACGGTCCTGAGTAACCTCCCTCAACTCGCTGAGCATCATGGCCCATTTAGCATTTGGCTTAG